CTTTCAGCACTTGAGAAAACATTGTGCCCCTTCCTTCCAACCATCATGATTACAGATGAGAATTTTACTGTCATTTAAATTGTCATTTGAATGTTGTCATGTTCCACTAGAGGAAATGCACTATTTCTCTTGAGCCTCTTTCAAGATTTTATTTTTCCTTCTTCCCTTTAATAGTCACACGTTTGATTCATGTGCTCAAGTGTGGATTTCTTTGAGTTTATCCTATTTGGAGTTGCCCAGCTTCTTTTATCTGTAGGCTTAGGTCTTATCCAAATTTGGGAAATTTCCAGCCATTAGGTCTTCAAACAGTTTTTTGAAACACTGCACTCTTTCTCCTCTCCTTCTGGGACTCGAATGAACTGAACATTAGATCTTTATATATATATATTCCCACAGGTCCCTGAGGAGCTATTAATTTTTTCAGTCTATTTTCTCTCTGCTCTTTAGATGGTGTTGTTTCTAGTGATCTGCTTTTTAGTTCATAGATTATTTCCTTTGTCATCTACTATTGAGCCCATCAGTATTTTCTTATGGTTATTGTATTTCTCAGTTCTAGAATGTGCCTCTGGTTCTTTTTTCTATCTTCTATTTCTTGGCTAACACTTTTTCTTATTTTACATTGCTTTTGTGTTTCAAAAAGCATTTTTATGATTACTTCTTTAAAATGCTTGTCAGGTAATTCCAACAACTGACTCATTTTGGTGTTGGCATCTATTGATTGTCTTTTCTCATTCTAGTTGTTGACTGTCCTAGTTCTTGGTGTGATGAATGAGTTCTTATTCTATGGTCGACATTTTGGGTATTATGCTGTGAGACTCTTGAGCATACACACATTTAATCTTCTCTTTTAACAGGTAGTCATCCTCGTAAGGTGTAATTCATAGGTCTGGGTGGAGGTGAATGTGCAGCTCTCTGCTGGGCCCTACTATGACTGCCTCAGTAAGAATGCTGACTCATACTGCCTCACTGCAGAAGGGAAAGGTGCAAATTTAGCTTCCCCAGGGTAAAGTCAATTCCCCAGGGTAAAGACAATTCCTCTTTGCCTCCAAGTGGAAGTAGAGGCACAGCTCCCTGTTGGGCCCTCATTTTATCTTACTGATGCTGGGTAGATGAGGAGGTTTAGCATTCTTTTGGGCACTGTTAGCATCAGGGACTGCCTGTTTAAAGCCCATACCTGCTGGTGGCCAGGAAGGTGAAGATCTCCACAGAACCCTCTGGCACTATCCTGGTTGCTTGCTCTGCCCAGCTGAGAGAGAGAGACTGGCTTTCTGCTTACCTTGGGAGCACCTGCTGCTGCTTTTCAGGGGAAATGCAACTCTCCACTTAGTGTTGCTGAAATAGACAGTCAGGGAGCAGTTTTCCCACTGATGTTTAGCTAGGGTTGGGTGAGTATTATTAGACAAAGGGGTTTTCTGTGAGATTACCATTTTTCCAATCCTTCGACAAGGGAGAATTAGCTTTGTGTAGTTTATGCTTGTTGGCAGTTTGGGGTTGGAGGCTTTTGTCTGGAATATAGGGGAGGTAATATGGAAACACAAGGAGATCACTGTAGTGTTTTCCCTCATGTTCCAAGGTCCGTAGGCATTGTGTGTTCTTCATTCCACCTTTTAGAATCTTTCTTTGCCGGCTCCTTCTGCTATTGCCCAGGTCGCTTCATTGTACCAGGGAACACCTGGGAGAAATGGACTCCTCACTTTTGGTCAGATGCCTCTTTATTCATTTACCCAGCACTGGTTTCCTGAGCCCTGACTGTGTGCTAGGCATCCAGCTAGGAATTGGGGGACTCCAAATGAACAAGATAGACGTTCTTCACAAAGCTTGCATTTGAGAGGAGACAAAGTGTAAGTGCTTGTAAAAGGTGGTGAACGCCACAATCAAGTCTCTCACACTAACAACACAGCATGAGATCAACACTAACAATCAAGCAATGTTAATGTTGTTGTTGTTATGTGCCATTCATTGGGTTCTGACTCATAGCAACTCTATACAGGGTTTCAGAGGATCAGCTGGCAGGTTTGAACTGTCAATCTTGTGGTTCACAATCCAGTGCTGATCCTATAGTGCCACACCAGGAGCCCAATCAATTAATCAATCAATCAATCAATCAAAACCCCCACACAATTAGAGTACATGGGGTTTGGAGTCCTTCAAATTCATTTTCAAGTAATACTCACAGACATAGTTATTAGAGAAAAGCAATTCAAGAGTTCCTTTGTGATTTGACAACATTCTGAGATGAAAGAACTATCAAAGCAGAGTTACCCTGAGTCCACAGCTACTGACAGCGTCTGTGAGCAGGAGGGCCTTTTAGGAATCCACAAACAGCACCAGAGTGAAGCAGAACACAACTGAAAAACTCTAATTTCTGAGTCTATATACACTTGGACAGCACCTGCTATGGATAGAAAGTCAAAGATTCTTGACTAGGAGCAGAGTTTCCATTTGTGGAAAGTTGTCCTTATTTGGAAGAATACTGGACAATTTAACCCAAGAAAGTTCAGTTCTCTGGCTTCTTTTTACTAATCCAATTTGCTGATATATTTTAGGATAGCTAAACCCAGTTATGATGAATAATTCTTAACACTATTCATAATAAATAAAACATAATTTTAAGGTCAAATTGATCAAGATGCCTTATCCATACTACACTCTGTACTGTGACCATAACACCAAACCTACTGGTGCTGAGTCAATTCCAACTCATCATGACCCTATAGGTCAGAGTAGAACTGCCCTACAGGGTGTTCAAGGCTGCGATCTTTACGGAAGAAGGCTGACACATGTTTCTCCAGCAGAACAGCTGGTGAGTCAGATCTGCCGACTTTTCACTTAGCAGTCGAGCACTTGACTACTGCGCCACCAGGGCTCCTCACTGTGACCATAATTATATTAAATATGAATTGTATGCTAGAACTTGGGAGACTAACTTGACTCTATGAAAGAAGAATGGATCAGTATATGTAACACTTCTTAAGAGACACAGCTTCACATCTTTTAACCAAATGAGTATACATTTTCAAGGCAATACAATACAAACTAGGATGTCTTTTAGTCCTTCTTTTGTACTGCATCATGGTGACCAGCAACATAGAGAATAAAATCTAATATAAGGAGGCTACAAAAGTTCAGGAAAAATTCAATTTTCCATAAACTTATTGAAAAAAAAACCTAAGATTGAAATTATCTTAGACTAGGCCACTTACTGACGGGTCTCATGGGTGATTTTTCTGGTCTCATTCTTTCCATTTTTGTTCACTTAACCATGTTCAGGGATGATCTATTTCTAATGTGGAAACTAACAAGCCATGCATGAGTCATGCTACCGGCTGGCCAACCTTCAGGGAGCATCCATTCTGGCCTTTGGGCCCAAGATGTAGTCTCCTTGAACATGTGCCTCTCTCATCTGTAGCTTACAGAAGGCTGATTCTAAAAGACACCACTCTGAACACCAAGGAGTGTTAGTCCCCATAGCACACAAGTCAGGACTCAAACGTCCACCCCTGGTGTGCACAGTGAAACCTGTGAGAGCCCGAACTCCACAGAAAATCCCTGTTTTTTTCAGGTTTCCCAAGTTCTCTGCTTTTGACAGGGTGCAAACCTACCACTTTTCTAGCGCTTGTTTTAGTAGAAAAGACTTAACTTTTCCTTTCTCTGACACATTTCTGCCTTACATAGGTTCCAGCTTTTGCAGGTTTGACTGTAAGCTTCCTATAAGCTTCTGTGAGTCCTATTTTGGCACTGTAGAATAAGTACTGGACTGCTAATCACAAGTCCTAAGGTTCAAATCTATCAGCTGCCCCTTGAGAATCTCATACAGGGTTGCTATGAGTTGGAATGGACTCAACAATGACAACAATAAATAAGCTTCTACAAGGAGCCCTGGTAATACAGTGGATGAATCATTGAAACACAAGGTCAGAGGTTCAAACCCACCAGCTTCTTTGTGGGAGAAAAATGAGGCTGTTTGCTCCCATAGAGCTGAAGTGTCAAAAATGCTAAGGAGAAGTTCTACTCTGTTATATAAGGTTACTATGAGCCAGAGTTGACTTGATGGCAGTGGCACCCAACCCAAGTCTCTGCTGAGGTCCTTTTAAGCCAAACCTGTCATCTCTCATCCCATTTGTTCCCTCATCATTAACACCACTATCCACAAGGTCAGCTAAATTAGTATCAGGCATGCTCATCAGATGCCCTCAGAAACGTCATACAGAGTCACTATGAGTTGGAACTGACTCAGCTGCATTTAACAACAACAAACAATATGAAAAAGATATAATAATTCCACAAGGAAAAACTTATACTTTATAGTAAAGAAAGGAGTTGTCATTAAGTGCCATCGAGTCAGTTCTTACATCAACCCTGTAAGGGGTTTCTGAGGAGCAGCTGGTAGCTTTGAACTGCCAACCCTGTGGTTCACAGTCCAGTGCTGATCCTACAGTGCCACATCAGGAGTTCAAAGTAAGGAGTGGTCCTGGGTATAGTGTAGAAAATTACTTAAATTATATATTGTTCAACATTGACCTTTGCAAACACAGAACTGCAACTTTTTGGAAGTGTTCATTCAATTCATTTTAAACAAATCTGATCTAGGATAAAATGCTGAGTTGTAATGATTTACCAAAATTCATTGAAAACTCTTTTAAGGGACAGGTAACATGATATGTTGGTAAACTGAAGTCAGAAACCACAAAAAAGCTATACTTCTTATTAACCATTAAGCACTCAGAAGGCAGTGAGTCACTTCCTTCTCAAGACTTAGTCCCCAGGAACACTCCTAAGATGTCACCTGGGCTCTTTTTCCCATCTGAGGAAGGGGTGGATGCCATAGCATGGCAGACAGTTTGGGGCCACCTTTCTTTGGGACAGGAAAGGGCTCGATGGCTGGCCATGTGATCATACTCCGCACCTCAGGGATCTCAGCAAACCACGCCCCTGCCTCCCACCTCACCCGGGGTTTCCTTAGAATGTGTTTTAAGCACAGGGGTTTTGCTTACCAGTTCCTCGGTCCCTGGAGAGCGTGTCCTCCTTCTCCTCCCTCTCCAAGGTGCTGCTGGAAGACGAGATGCTAGAACAGTTGTCCCTCTCGTTCACTTCTTCATTCTGCCTCTCTTTTTCACTGAGGGAGGCTTTTTCTTCTGGCTCGTGCTCCAGTGCTCTCTCCAACTGGCTCTCGGTGTCTGCAGGGGCTATTTCCTGGCTGGCCTCATCAGCAACCTGCCCCACCTCTGCCTCGGGTTCTGGGTTTGGTTTGGGCTCGGGATCCCTGACACTTGCTGGTGAAGATAACAGCGGAGATAAAGTTCACAACTTATTCCTTCAAAGTGTGAAGTGGGATGCGAAAATGGTTGTTAGTGGGATCATCTGTGCTTTCTAAAGACAGTCCTCCAAGATCCTCATCCCTTGGTTATTCAATCAAACTCTAACCTAAGAACTATTGGAATGGAATTTTTGCAGATACAATTCAAGACCCAAGTTAGTTGAAAACTCCCCAGGTGGTCCTGACCCAATCAGGTGAATATTTTAAAAGCAGAGAAGTCAGGGAGATGAGAAACATGAGAGAAATTTGACATGTCTTTCCTGCCTTTGAAGATGAAAGGGTCCATGTACTGAGGGACTAGAGGGCTTCAAAAAGCAGAGAGGGTGACAGCCAGAAAGAAAACAGGGATTTCAGGTTTGTAAATATGTGGAGCTGAATTGTCAACAACCTGATTTCCCCCAGAACTTCTCAATAGGAGCCTAGGAAGGCAGAACCTTGATTTCAGCCTTTTGGCTACCCAAAGTAAAGAATCCAGTTGAGCTTTTGCCTGACAAAAAAAAGCTAAATTAATAAATGGGTATTATTTTAAATTGTTACATTTTGAGTAATTTGTTGTCTAACAACAACTAATGCATGATTCATTTGTCTCTTTAGAGAAATAGAAAGGAAAAATAAATTCCACAGTGAAACAACCTGGCAAGCAAGAAGCCACTTTCTATTTTTGAAATCAGTAGCAAAACTGATGAGGCCCACCACCCTTTGCTTGGATTAGGTTTGCTCATGCCCTTGTTAAAGTGCTGCAGAGTCACAGTGCTGACTTACAAAATTCCTGCATTGGGTTTCCAAGGAGAAGTTGGTGGTTTGAACCACTGACCTCCCTGTTAGCACTCTAGTGCCTATGCTACATGACCACACCAGGACTCCAACTAAGGAGTTGTTGTTCAGTGCAGCTGATGGGGTTCTGACTCACAGCAACCCTGTATAGGGTTTCTGAGGAGCAGCTGGTGAGTTTGAACTGATGGCCTTGTGGTTTGCAGCCAAATGCTGACCCTACAACGACTCCACCAGGAGTAGGTATATAGAAATTTCTGAGTAACAGTCATGTATGATTGCCAGAGGAGGATGGGGCTACTCCTGAGATGGTCAGGGCTGGACAAAAGCAATACTGTGTGGCATCCAGGCAGTGTCCCAGGGGCACTTGCCAGAGCCCTAGGCACACACCGCAAGAAGCAGGATCTGCATAGGGTTAACCTGTAAGGGGCAAGCTCAGGCTCTGGAAGAAGAGGCAGCTCAGTGAACTCTGTCTGCACAGGCCCCCTGCCAGCTTAGGGGTGTGGGGATGGAACAGCTAGTGATGGACAGCACAGAGCAAGCCCCCAACAAACCCGGCACCAGCATTACTAGGGGAGAAGAGAGCTCAATTCTCACTGGGCAGGGGCCCAGCTGCCCTCAGCGAGAAGTGCTTTCAGCAGGTCTCAGCTGGCACAATGCCAACCCTAGTCCTCCACCCCTCATCTGCTCTCAGGCTGCCTTCGTCTGAGAATGAGTCAGGGATCTGGATAAGGAGGGAAATGATGGTGGGGCACAACACCAGTCTTTCCTTATGTTCTTGGGCAAGTTCCAAACATGACAGGGAAGGAATATTCCTCTGTGGGAATCCCCACAAGTGCCCTCAACGTAGGAAGTGGGGATGCAGCAAGTGCTATTCCTTTCAACTTCTAAGCCCAAGCTGGGTGTCATGTTGTGCATCTTCTGTGGGACTCAGTCCCATACAGAAACCTGAAGGAACCAGGAAAAGCAGCAAAAGCCCCCCTACTGCCCAGTGGCTGTCCCTGTGAACGTCCCCAAAAGAGAGGTTTAGGAACTGGCAGCATTAGAGCAAAGTTTCAGGCCCTGGCAGTCCATGAAGAATGCCAAAGATGACATTAAAGTGAGCCCACATGGCCAAGAACGGAATGTCATACACTTTTCCTTAAAAGCAAAAAGCTGGATTGGGAGCAGGAAAACAGAAACATGCCTTTCAGAAGAACTCCCTTTAGTGTTGAAGGAATTTTTATCATAATTTCTTTTTCATCTGATAATAGATTATTTAGCAACGAGATACAAAACCCCATTAGTTTGATAAACATGGCAAAATCAGGGCTTGGCAATAATTGTGTCACCTATTTGGTTGACAGAAAGCATTACTTCAGAAGAGCCACCTCAAAATGGAAGTGGGTTTCCAAAAGCCTAGCACATGGCGGGCATTTTAGTTGGCGAGCGTATGGCAAAAGCTGGTGATGGTGCCTCTTTGTGGCTCTCTGACAGAGAATATGGTTCAGGTAGCTGCCATAAGCCCGTGTCTACCCAGCATCCCCAGAATAGGCTAAAACCCCCAAACCAAACCCACTGCTACCAAGTCCATTCCAACTTCTAGTGAGCATACTAGTCTGAGGAGGGCTTTCCCACAGGGTTTCCGAGGCATCTTTACAGAAGCAGATGGTCACACCCTTTCTCTCTGGGAGGCAGCTGGTGGATTCTAACCACCGACATTTTGGTTGGCAATTGCGCACTTAAACCATTATGCTACCAGGATTCATCTCACAGGACACTAGATAGATGAAGCAGTGTGAGTCCTGATGTGATGGGTGCATCTTTTAGGCTCTAAAGACATATGTCTAGATCACTGCTGTGCTTCATCGCAAGCTAGGATGATGGCTCCAATTAATCAGTGACGACAAGATGGGTGATAATGGACATGTAAGCGCTGGAAAAGCCACAGGGTCCCAAGTCTACATGGTACACTTTCATCCCAATATAGTAGGGCCTAACATCATGGTATCAATCATTTAAACTTCTAATTCAAAACATGGCATGGTTTCTTACCTCCATTATTGCACGGGAGGCATTCATCTCTAGAACCATCCCTACCAGGACACATGACTCAGTGCCATCAAGGTTGACTGCAAATCTGTGGCATCTGTCCTACTGAAGACCAAGCCAAAGGATGGTCACACACCTTCGAATCAAACAGATCAACTGGAGACTGAGAGGGAAGGCAGTACATGAAAGCCCTACCCAGAAGCCAACACATAGGCCATCAACTGCACAGCCTGCTTTCAGAGTTCCCACTGGCAGGGGAAACAGGACCGAAACATAGCTCGCCAAGAGGGGTCACCATGGTATGTGCTTGCTACCCAAGAAACCCAAGTGAAAGTTTGGGCTATCAAGTGACAGCAAGTCCACAGTGGGAAGGGCCAGGGCTCACTGCAGAGACATTCTCCAGGTGTATTCATCAAACACAGGAATGACATGGAGAAAAATTTCTCCAAGGCCAAGACTTCTTCTTCTGTATGTGGCTGGAGGTCAGAGAGCAGGGTCACCATGGCCCTGGCCAAGGACCTCGTAAGCCAAGGTGAGGACCTCCAATGTCACCCACAGGCAGTGACGGCTGCTTCAGGTAGAGTGAGGCTCCATTTCCTTTTGTCAGAGATGACCTCTGACTACATGTGTCTTAGACATACTACGCTTCTTGTGGTAATAGCTTAGGCATGCCTGAGATCTATGGGATGAGGCTCCTAGTCAACAGGGAATATATAGTGCAGGAAGCATGTGCTGTAGACAGGCTCTGAGGAGGAAGAGGTGGACGCCCATTGATGGAACTCAAGAAACGGAAGAGGAAGACTGAAAGCACAGCACCATGGGAATGACACAAGGGTAAGGGTTGAGATTCTAGACAGTGAGAGGAATTTTTCTATTCCAGATTTATCAACTGAGGCAGAAACTGTGCTAGCATCTGAGGGGAAGACAAGAGGTTATTTTGGTTGTTGGTTTCCTTTGAGGAACGTTTACTGACCACATAACGTTACATGAACTTCTAATGGGATCCTCCCAACCTCTGTATAAGGAGGGCATTGTTACTACCCTCAGAAATCCAGGGCTGGGAGAAAGTGGAGACAACCTGTGCCCAAGACCAGGCTGGTAGAGCAGGGTGTCCAAACTCAAGTAAATGCCTTTAAAGACCCCACAGCATGGTCTTGCGGCAGGCTTAGGAGTGAGTGTGATAAACCAAACCCCACACACTAGGACCTGCCAGGGTGTGCCCAACTTGTCCATAACCACCCACGCCTGTAAATCACCTCAGATGGACCAAGTACATAGAGCTCTGATTGCATTTCTTCAACAAAGGAAGGGAACTACAGAAAGGCAAGGGCCATGCAACCCTTCTCCCAGTGGTGGGCGTGAGTCTGGGAATGAAAGCAGAGCATGGCAAGGATGACTGGCAACATGAAAGTTATCCAAAGCAGGGATCTGTCTTCCTGGACCATGTCCTGAGAGCAGGCTGATGGGATCTTGGCAGCACCAGAATGCACTTTGCAAAGGCTGGAAAAATGTATTTGGCCAGAACCTGCCCTGACCTGATTAAAAGGCTAGAGATGGAATTTTAAGGTGGGGAGGGGAAGAGCATAAGAGAAAAAAATAAAAATTAAACTGCATAAAAGAACAAGTAACACATACTTGGGACTTCTGGTGTGGCACTATAGGATCAGCACTGGACTGTGAATCACAAGGTCAGCAGTTCAAACCCACCAGCTGCTCCTTGGAAGCCCTATGTAGGGTCGCTGTGAGTCAGAACTGACTCTATAGCACTTAACAACAACACATACTTGATAAATCTGGAGAAAGTAACAGAGAGGAGGCAGGCCTCAGACTCTTCAGAAGGAAACAGACAAGAATCTGGGGAAAGGACCCATAAACAAAATGTGTCTACTAAAAGGAAGTCTTTCTCCAAAAGCAACAGACATTACAGAAGAAACAGGCTGAGAAACCAGGATGAGAAGCCATCGACACAATAGCCAAAGGGAATTGGGACTATTAAAGGTTGCCCAGTCAGATGAAGGAGTCCTGGTGTGGCATGCAGGATAAGCATTGGACTGTTAACCACAAGGTCAGCAGTTCAGACCCAACAGTCACTTGTTGGAAACTCTATATAGGGTTGCTATGAGTTGGAAATGACTCGACATCACTTAACAACAA